AAAAAGAAAAAGAAAGAAAAGAATAGGAGATACTAGGTGGCACCTGTGGCTCAAAGGAGTAGGGCACTGCTCCCATATACTGGAAGTGGTGCGTTCAAACCCAGCCCTGGCCAAAAACTGCAAAAAAAGAATAGGAGATATTGCCTTTTGAGCAAATTAAAACTCAACACAGTAATTAATCTACTACAATAGAGTGTGGTATTTCCAAAAGAATGACAACTATCCTGGTTTTTAATGACAAAACCTAACAAAATAAGAGAGTTATTTTTTAGGCCTTTCTAGCAAAGTGTCCAACCTTTTCATTCTAAGAAATGTATTAATATTTATTTATTTTCTTACATTCCAAGAAGACTCAAAACTTGAGACAATAGGTTAAAAGAGCAGTTAAAGTCTCTTAACATAAAAACATAACATTCTACAGAAAAATGATGCTGTTTGTTATTAACAACAACAACCCATCACCCCCACTAAATCAACGATTTAAACGGCCTCGCTAAAGTGCATTGGGTGGTTTTCCTATTTTAAGCTCTCTTCATCTACATGTCAAAATTAATCTTAAAATTTGTTCTCTGACTTTTCTAAGACGACTTAATACATGATATCCTCCATCTAATGAACCTTCTCCTTTATTATTAGCTTTTCATTTGCTCATCTCCTAAATGCTGATTTTTCTTGGGCTCATTTTTCCTATCCTTTATGCCCCTTCTTTAATCAAATTCATCAGCAATCAAGATTTCAACTACAAGCTATAAATGCTTCTCCCCAAACTGTGCACATATTCTCTTAAGCACTAAACTTATTTGCCCATCTGTGTACTGAATATCTCTACCTAGAAGTCCTACAGGTACTCCAAGCTCAACCTAACAACGGGATTCACTGTCTATCTTCCAATATCTGCTTTATTTTTTCTATTACTTTTATCTTAAGGAACATTCATCCAGTCTCTTAAATTATAAAATTCCAGACTTCATCTACAAATGCTCACCAAATCTTATAAATCTAACCTCTACAATTCAACAGTTACCTAACTGTTGTAAAACCTGAATCTGAATGCATCGCTCCTTGCTTTTAAAAGAGAGCCACAAAATAAAAGTCATCTTCTTCTTATGGTATGCAAGGCCAGTTTACCTTCCAATCTCTACCTGTCCTCTCTCCTGCTCCTCTCTCCAAAGACACACCTATGATGTATAATACCCATGACTTGCACTTCCCAAGTATACTAATCTCTCATTCAGTAAATATTAACAGCTATCTGCTAGGCACTGTGCAAAGCACTAAGGACTCCCCTTGTGCCCTGGTGGAAGAAGATAAAAACAAATGATATAATATATGAGGTGGCTGTAAGTGCTATGGAGGAAAAAGAAGCAACTCAGAGAACAAAAATATCACATAATTTATCACATTATGAGACACTGATTTCTCCAGCAAATAGCATGTTCTCCCTATAAACTAGAGATGTCCAGCATGTCTTTAAAAATGCAATCATACTTCTACATTCCTTAATTTATTTATATTTCAATTCAAATTACAAGTTAAAAACATAACACCAAGAATGATACTGAAACATACAGTTGTTGAGAGGCACAGCAAAACACAGCTGACTTCTGGAACAGCTAATTTATAATAATTTTACTTTTTGAGATTAAAGTTGATGGGGGTTGATTGTTTTTCTTTGATTCTAGTGTTTTTGTTGGCTCCTGGATGTGAGTGCTGGCATATTTCAAATTATGTCATGAGATTAGAATCTGTTAAACTTAAAAATTCATCTTGATTTAGTCTGTTATTTTACTTATTCTATAATACTCTATATACCATGGTCTCAAATTTAGGGCCTACAAATTATAAAACTCCTTAGTATTGCTAGGACATAAGAGACAGGAGCTTTTTGCTAGTGATTTTAAAACAGTTTTCCAATCGTCTGAGTCACTCAAACGCATAATATATCTCAACTGTTTACAAAGAGCTGAAACAACTGGAGAAACCTATATAAAAGCACTGTTTAAGATACAGGATAGTGCTATGGGATTTGGCAATGAGCCAAAGAAAATTTATACAGACATTAATTGGCCTATTTTGTACTCAGAAAATCACAATGATTGCCTTACCATCTAAATAATACACATACTTTAAAAGAATTCAAATTTTCTCCTGGGAATCTTCACTATCATTGAATTACACGTGGTTCCAGTCCCAGGACATGAATGAGTGAATGCTGGTGTTTCAGTGTTCTCATAAATCTGTAAACAAAACTAACATTTTTTTGTGGGGTTTTTTTTTTTAAAGATGTAAAACTGAAATCTAAAATGTCTTAAATTTCCAAATACCAATTAAGCTCAGTGGAAGATGAGCCTTATCTTAGTAACTACAACTCTGACCAGCAGAATTCTGTCAAAGTCTTCAGGGTTTAGAAAGGAAAGATAATAAACTTTTATCACTTTCTGAGGGCATACTCTTCACTTCTGTCAATCCTTCGATCTTCACAAACATGCAGATTGTGGAATGCTCCTTTCTGTATCCTACATGATAACCAGCTTCTTCTCTTCTCAAGTTGGCTGGCAGAGAGGGAGAAACATCCCAGCCTCAGCTGAAATTCCAACTAAAGTGTGAACCCATTGGAAATATTGGAAAAGGGATAAATGTACTGATAACTTTGGTACTGGAGTAAAAAGCAGCTACCAGCATGCTGTACGGGCCAGGGCTCATGTTCTATTAAAGAAACAAAAAATGGCCAAGATGCACACTTCATTTCACTCTCAAGGCTGGGGGAAAAAAGAATATACATACCGCGTCTGTGATGTCTATCTCATACACCCTTTGGAAAGTCCTACGCTCAAAGAAAACAAGTTTGCCGCTACCACATCCTCTTTGAACAGATGTACCAGTGACTATGAGTTTATCATCTGGACTGAAACAGCAGTCAGTCCTAACAACAAAAAGAGTGTGTAAGTGCACATATAAGCTTATGACCACCCCAAATGTAATGCGTGAATTAAATCAAATATAGACATCATTGTAATAAGAACTCACTCCTATATAGGGCTTGTGAGTCAACCACTCACGTTAATTTGTTTAATCTTCACAAGTAGATATTATCTCCATTTTACTATTTAGGAAACTGAAGCAAAGAGTTTAAATATATCTTACCCATGATGATACCAGTAAGTTATATAGCTGGGATTCAAGCTTAAGCAGCCTGACTACAGAATCTGTGCCTTTTAACATCTACATTGTAACACTTCTTAATGTAAAGGGAGCATAGGAAAACTCAATGTAGACACTAAGAGTGTCTACAAAGAGTCATCATATATGACCAATGTCTACTAGTGATTATTTTGATCACTTCTTGGATTTTTACTACCACTACATTATCACCACCATCACCCCCAAATAATCTGAGTTGTGTCAAGTCAAGCACCATGAAACAAGTAGCAGGTTATACTGCAAGAAGCTAACTGATGACTGCAACACAACATCTCTTGTTATGAGAAGTCTGGCCACCTGAGTGTGATAAGTACGGAATGATCCAAAGAAGTTATGTAGTTAGCATTACCTGTAGCAAGCTCAATAGCTCAAAAAATTCTCATCAGCTATAAATTCATGTTTGCTTAGACAGATAAATGCCATGGGCAGTGGACCATGTGAGTTAGTGCTGTATTACTATAAAGCTCCCTTCACTTGATGCTCCCATTACCTTCACTCTCTCCCCGTTGGTCATTATTTAACACAAATGGGGAATTTCATTTCTATTAAACTAGAAAAATTTGCCTAGGCACCGACTATAGGACTATTTGTCTAATCCAGCTGCCCCCACACAACCCCCAATCTTTAAAAGCTTTAGTTGCCAGTTTAGTAAAATGGAGATAGTGTTCAGTTACCCAGGGCAAGACAGTCTGAACAACTGAAGGATGCTGAGTCATTGATAGGAATAAGAAAAATTTGAGAAAATTAGCTGTACTATAAATGCCTAGTAACTATTAGAATCGGTTTTAATGGTATGAGAGACTTAATATTAAAAAAAACTACAAATACACACGCCTACCCTATGATTTATACATTAAAAGAATTAACAATTAAATTATTCAATTTAATTTATACAACTAAAAGAACAATTGTTCATGTGCATATGAACATAGGACCTGTTCATGCACACAATATATACACACTCAAACACATGAACAACTCAACACACATCATTTTAACTTTAAAACGGTTTTTATAGTCTGAAGAACGTATTAATACAAAATAAAAGGAAAAGAAAATGCATCTTTCAAAAAGCAGATTTCAATCACTCCAGTCTCTTTTCTAGAAACTCTAAAGACATATAATACAAATTAACATTAAAATGAAAAAAATTTCTTTTCCATTCTCCTATTGCTGATCAAATATTAAAAATAGGCTACTTACATTGGGAACATGGTAGGAAGACCCGAGGCTGAAAAAAGTGGCTTATTAAATTGTCGGATGTCCCATAATTTTAATGTATCATCACCTAACAGAGGAATGAGAGGGGGGAAAAAAATGAACTGTGCAAAAAAAATTCCTCCAACTTCAGAGTCTGCTAAACATAGCCTATAAGGTGGGAAGTAAGGAAAGAAAGAGAGAAAGGGAAGAAGGAATGAAAGAAAAGAAAGAGAAAGGGGAAGGGAAGGGAAAGAAAAAAAGAAAAGGAGAGGAAAGGAAAGAATGAAGCCAGATGCACATTAACATTTTTTACTTTTTCAACCGTTCGGGGAGCTTGAACACAGTAGTTGCAAGAATAGTAGAAAGCTATAAGATAATGAATCAACCTTCTAGAAATTACTTTCCTGATTAATGTAGCATCTGCAGGCGAAAGGAACCCTGGAGAATCTAAAGTGATTTTAGAGCAGATGATAGTTCCTCTGTGGTATATTTAAGCATAACCTAACTTCTTGAGAATATCTTTTTTTGTTTGTTTTTGGAGACTATCTTAATTTAATAACCATCAGTACTGAAAATAGTTCAGTTCACAACAGATTCTTTTTCCCACTAGTGTGTGGGTAAAGCTATACATTAACAGTAATGGGGGTAAGCCATGTGATTTCCTTCCCTCCAGTGTAATTCTACCTATAGCAATCATTCTTCGCTTTGCTGGGGAGTACAGCTTTTCCAAGCCATTTAAAGAATAATGAATTTTTTTTAAGAATCACCTTTTTATATTTCTATAGGGCTACTAATTCCTGACCAGAACAAATGCCAAACCCACATAAGTAATGTTTTTGCTGTTCTTGTTCCCCAGTGCCCACAGCTGAGACCTGTCTTAACCCACTCAAGTCCAATAAAGAATCAGAATCAGGTGCAAATGAGGTGAGTGGAAAGTTCAGTAAAAATCCCCCTTCTCTCCCCAGTGACCCTTCCTCTGAAACTCAACTTTAGACAGGTGCACTAATCCACAACTGGCTGGACTCAAGACCTGCTTATACAGGGAGAACTTTCTAAGACTCACCTTTGAAATGTTACCCTACTGCTTTTAGTATTAAGAAAGGTTACATATCCCCACAATCCTCAAACAATAAGAAAATATTAATCTGCATTAGTTTCAGTTAACTTAAAAGGTTTTAGAGTCAGCAGAAACACCCTGGGGACTCCATGATGAATAGATTTCCATCTGCCATAGCCTATATATCCCAGAATGAAAATGATGGAATGCAGTATGCATGTTGTGTTGACCAACTCAGTCATCCAATACCAATTACAGGATGAAAGGAAAAGGGAAGATTTATCATCAAAATGGCTTTGACTGAAATAGAGGTTGGTCCTGTACTGCTAAGGTAGTAATTATCAACTGAGAGCTCATCTACTTTAGAATCCTTTTGGAAGAATTTTCAAAATAAACTCCCCTTTTGATCCCTTCTTCTCTCCTGGCTCCACCTGAGAGATTTGGGTATACCACCCTAAAGATGCAAGAGTGAACATGAGAATTTCTAAGGGGAGCATTTATCATTTCAATAACCTTCCAGAGAATGAAATCCACTCTTGGGATAAGAACCATAGTTTTCAAGTAAAGAATATATTTAGTTTTAATTGGGATTCATCTCTGAACTCAAGTACCCACTATAATTGACATATTTTGTAGATATTCCCAGTTGCCATGTCTAAAATAGAAAAGTACATGGACATGTGCTTTCATTTTTTTTTTTTTTTAAGTTTTGCAAGTGAGCATAGTTTGGCTTTATCAGCAAGGTTTCCTTACAGCAGTGGTTCTCAACCTTCCTAATGCCGCGGCCCTTTAATACAGTTCCTGTGGGTTGCAACCCACAGGTTGAGATCCACTGCCTTAGAGGAAAGAGAATCTGACTGGAGTTCCCAAGGGTAAAAGGAAATGAATTAGTTAAACTGAGGGAAAAGCCAAGTGCAAAGTCTCTTGTCTCTCTTCCCTCCCCTCTACACTAGGTCTTAATTTTTCTCTCTTGATTGCTTGAGCCCAGGAGTTCAAGGTTAAAGTGAGCTATGATCACACCACTGTACTCCAGCTTGGGTACAAAGACCCTGTCTTTAACACACACACACACACACACACACACACACACACACAAAAACCGGCATAGAAAGAAGTGGATGATCATCTATAAAATTTCGAAGATAGAGGCAAAGGTCATTTGTGGAGGCTTCAAACTCTTAGGGAATGTGAAGTTAAGATTAAAAACTTAGGCAAAATAGGGTAAATGTTTTCTAAATTTTACTTGATAACTTTTAATACAAACAATGTTGCCAAGTTGGAAGTGCATTTTAATGAAAAACTCAGCCTGACAAAAGCTCACTAATGAAAAGCATAGCTAGTTTTACTAAGCATGATTAGTATGGCATTTGTTAGAGTGAAATATGGTCATTTTACATATAGAAAATATCTAAAAGAAAACTTTTAACCTACCTCCACGAGAAGCAAGGACATTACCATCATAGGAAAAAGTCACACAAGAAGTGTCAGTGCCTGGGTCATGAGCCTGTTTATAGTGGAATTTAGGATGAACCTGTTTATAAAGACAAAGTGTTAACATTTTACCTGAATTCGAATGAGAACATTTTAAAGGCAAGAACATTTCAGTTTTTTGTGTTTTTTTTTTTTTTTGCAGTTTTTGGCCAGGGCTGGGTTTGAACCCACCACCTCTGGCATATGGGGCCAACGCCCCACTCCTTGAGCCACAAAAATGATATACACCTATAGATAAAGTACTAGTTTCACACAATAGTTTCAATATCGTTCGCTTTCCTTCCAAAAAACATTCACAAGGCTTTTGAAAATCATCTATTTGCTTTAATAAAGAGCCAGGAGGCATTTTTCAGATTGTGTTAGCAACTCAAGATTACAACTGCATTCAGTTTTTCATATTATGCTTATAAAATTGTTGGGGTCATTTCTTGTATTTATCTTAAAGAGTAAATATAAATAAAATTATAAATTAGCACATTATTTATTTTCTCAAAAAGTTATTGTATTCCTAGCATACGCCAGACACCGTGCACACGGTTGCAGATCTTTATCTTTTATGTGCTTGTTGAAGGATGATGATGTTAATAATAACCATAGCAGCTAACCCTTATACAATACTTATTAGATCCCAGGTGCTATATCCTTTACTGTCCTAATAGTCACTCTAAACTAGGTTCTAGTATCCCCACTTTATGGTTTAGGAAGTGAAGCATAGATATTCAAATACCTCATCCAAGTCCAGATGAGGTTTATAAGTAGCAGATCTGAGAATCTGAACCCAAAGAGCCTATTCTTAAATACTTCACTGTAACTCTTCTCTTATTGATATATTTTCATAGTCTTCTTACTTCTAAAATTGGTTTTGCATAAAGACTTATAAAAGTTACTCTACTACACCAATTTGCCATTCAGTTATGATTTAGTACCTAACCTGCACAGCCAAAGTACTAGGAAGTCAATTATCCCAAAAAGAATAGTCTATATGAACAAAGATATCTGACCCATTAAAAACTCTGGTGTCCTATATAACTGTGGTTAATGGAATGCCCTCCAAGAGGACTGCTCAAGCCAAAGAGTGTGAGTTTGCTAGAGTGAGAGTCTGTCTCAAAAAAATAAAAATAAAAAAAAGAATGCTCTCTATGATAGCTAATTGTGTGTGTGTCTGTATATACATGCACCACACTCAGTGATTACCCAATGGTTGTGAGCCTTTGCCAGTTTTCTTAAGGTAATTCTCTAGCAAAAGATAGGGCCATTGACTCTCTCCGACCTTCTCTGCTTCCCTTTCCATTTTCTCTGATAATGCTTACCCAGTAAATTTCTTATATGTTTAATCCTGTCTTGGTATTGTCTTCTTAGAGGTCCCAAGTGGTGCCAGGAAAAGGTCCAAAAACACAGGTCAGGGGTCCTCAAACTTTTTAAAAAGGGGGCCAGTTCACTGTCCCTCAGACTGTTGGAGGGCCAGACTGCGGGCCCCAGTACGAGTCAACTGCTAAGCAGGACAGGCAGCGGTGGTAAAAACACCTGGCAACAGATAAATGTCCTAGGCGGGCCGCATGTGGCCCGTGGGCTGTAGTTTGAGGACACCTGACACAGGTGGTAAGATGAGAATCTGGGACTGCCTCTCTTGTTGCTTAGTGGGACTATGGAGTGCAGACAGACCCAGCATTTAGTAGTGGTCCAACAGCTACAATTTATTGGAGGTGACCTGAGTGGAGGGAATGTCCTCGTGGGTGTAATGTTTTAGGCATTTAAAAGCCATGGGAAGGAACACTGCCTAGAAGGGTAGCAGCCTTGGCCAGTTACTGTTAAGTTGTTGAGATACCCCCAGAAGGATACTGGGAAACTGAGAGCCATTTACAGTCAAAGACTAAGTTGGAGAATGAGGACCATTTGAGCAGCTTTCAAAGAGATCATCATCTCTTGTAGTGAAAGAGCTGACACAGCAAAGGAACAAACAGAAGATCCAGAAGATCTGCTAATTAGATTTACAGAGCTCCAGAGACATTCTAATGCTCGAACAATGCAGGTCTGTTATTCTAAGGCCAGGGCTCTAGCTGGGAAAATCTGGGACCCTGAAACATAAGCAGAGGATATTTGGGTAGATGCCCCATGGTGTGCTGGATCTACAGACACCCTCCTCTCAGCTCCCTGGAATCCTCACAGCTTAAAGAGGTGGCCTACTCTTACCAAATAAGAGCCAGAATTTTCTCTGTGCTAGAAAATGTTGTCAATGCTCTTTCCCCAACAAGGTAACAGCTATCTCTTCTTAGGACCTAACTTTACCTCCTCTCCTGGCTACTGGGACGATAACAAGGGTTAAATGCCAGTATTAGTTAGGGAAGCACTAGGCCTGAGAAGGGAGGAATGAGATTGTATACCAAAAGAGTTGGAGGAATTAGCTAGCTGCGACTGGTAGGAGCCATGGAAGACCTCAAGTTTGAATTTTGAGGATGCCCAATCAAGAGGACTAGGATACAGAACGAGGTAGTTTGACTGATTTGAGGACACATTTTTGGACAGAGAATTTAATACCCTCATAAGGATTCCAGGAGATGGCAAACTTGTACTATTTTTCATATGTGGTTAGCAAAGAGATAGTCCAGCCTCCATCAATAACTGAACTGTGTTGCAATGATATGCCTGTTTGGTCATCTCAAACCAGGTGACTGTAGTGTGTGACTACCTCAGACTCTAACTGATGACCAGCTAGAAGCTGCAGCTGTGGGAGAGAGTTCAGCCACTGAGAAGTGTGAGTCACAGGCAGAATATGACGCCACTGCTCTGGAATCTTTTGGCTCCCCATGTGCTTGCAACTTGAAATTCAAGGTGTTTACTTTAGTCTATAAAACAAACCCCTTATGGCTAGGGCACAAGTTACCTCCACATTAATCTCTCTTCTTATAAACCATAGCTGAGATCAGCTGGTATACCAGTTAGGCACTCTAGATTTATGCTTTAGAAATCTGTATGCAAAAATTTTTTAAGCCCTACCGAAGACCATGCTTCTGGAATTTCAAGAAGTCATGAAATGAAACATCCTGTCTTTTGGGGATGTTGAGACTCTAATTTACAATCTTGAGGCTACATACAGAAATAATAAAAGATGGTAATATTATCTTATTAGACTATTTAAGTATCTGATATATTTTACTATTCTAATTTTCAACAAAATACAATTTTTATCAGGAAATAAATGAGATGACTAATATAAATTTTCATATGACATTCTGTAGGTCCAAATGAGGGTATCATCTAAATCACCATGAGGAATGATTTAAGAAGAAAGTCCTTCCAGAGAGCCAGCCTAAGAGCAGGGTTTCCCAGAGAATGTTTTGTGTAACATCATCATCTCAAGGGGCTATAGCCAAGTAAGCATGGGAAACTAGAGTTTATTTGCATACCATAACCTTGTCTTAAAGATTCACAATAAGCATCAGTATATTAAAAGCCAGAGTCTTTTAAGTAGTAGCCCTAGAATAAATCAAACTCTTCAACATTCCAAAGTTTATTTGATTATAAAGCCATTTTTTCAGACGGTACATACTAGCAGATTAAATATTCTTTTGACCTTACTTGGGGAAACACACATCTACAGCAAGTATTGGCAAACTTCTTCTGGAAAAGTCTAGACAGCAAATATTTTAGGCTTTGAGGACCACACTCTGTTGTAACTATTTACTTCGACTGTTGTAAGATGAAAATAACCATAGACAATATATAAACAAATGCATAAGCTGTGTGTTCCAATAAAACTTTATTTATAAAAAGAGGTGGCAGGCTAAATTTGGCCTGTCATTAGCTCACCCCTGATCTAGTGAGAATGAAAACCTTAAGAAAAGGTTGTTTCTTTGTTGTGTCACCATCAGCAAAATTAAAAGCTTTCTTGTGATTAGATAACAATTTTAAATTCTTTTTTTTTTTTTTTTGAGACAGAGCCTCAAGCTGTCCCCCTGGGTAGAGTGCCATGGCATTATAGCTCACAGCAACCTCCAACTCCTGGGCTCAAGCGAGTCTCCTGCCTCTGCCTCCCAAGTAGCTGGGACCACAGGCGCCCGCCACAACGCCCGGCTATTTTTTGGTTGCAGCTGTCATTGTTGTTTGGCGGGTCCGGGCTGGGGATTCGAACCCGCCACCTTAGGTGTACGTGGCTGGCGCCTTAGCCGGTTGAGCTATAGGCGCTGAGCCACAATTTTAAATTCTAACACTAATACTGGTAGTAACAGTAGTAATAACGAGAATAATAATACTAGCTACAATTATTGAATACATTGCTACTCAGTACAATAAAATGGACATTTTCTAATTTTATCCTTAAAACAAGTTTTCCAAGATATATATAACTACTCATATAATAACTAAGAAAACTGAGGCTCAGTAAGGCAACTCGCACAAAGACATGTGACTAGAAACTGCCAGAGAAAAAATTCAAATCCTGATTCTAACTTCAACCAAAACACCCCTTTATAATAAGCTGCAATATTTCTTCCTCTTGGTTTGTATGACAGATTGTTTTAGTAATGGCCTTTAATAAGTCTGGCCTCCTTGTATCTGCAGAAAGTTAGTACAAGGAGAACGGATAATATGAAATAACTTTTTTCTATTTCAAATTACATATATATTTTTTACACTATTAAAACTATTCTCAACTATTCTATTTCTCAAAAAGTTCTATTACAAATTCAACCTAAGGAAGAAACTAGCAGTCTTTCATCCAAATAGGGGAAGTAAAAATAATAAACCAGTCATGTTACCTCCATTTAGTTCCAGTCAATGAGAACCAATCATGGTACCTGATTATAAGAGCTAACATTTTTGGTATACTTACTAGGAGCTAGATACTTACCTAGGTACATGATATCTATTAACTCTTTAAATCTCCTCAACAGTCCTACAAGTACTATTATTATCCCCTCTTTCCAGGGATGGTATAGGGTGCAGAGTTGCCCTAAGTCATGTGACCAGTGTTAGAGCCAGGATTTCAACCCAGGTAGCCTGGCTCCAGGGCCTGCACTCTTACAAATCATGGCTCTTCTGACT